GCTGAGCTCAGGACAGGCCTGCCTCATCACCCCCTTCAGCGGTGATGGAGCCCTCTGTGTGATATCCCCTGAGCTGTTCCCCAGCATTCTTCCTCTGGGACCCAACAGTAACACAAAGCCCTCTTCCTGAGCCTCTGACAATGCCCCCATGACCACCAGGGCCCCATGCCCAGCCAAGCCCTGCATGCTGGTCGCTCCCCCTCCACTCAGCCCTGCCACCCGGACCTTGGATCTGGGCTCTCAAAACCACTGCTCCCAAGGCCACCTCTGCTCCCCAGGCAGAGCTCTTTGAGAGTTGGGGTGCCCCTCAGTCACTCAGTATCTGTGCAGCCAGCACTGTGCCTGGCACTGATGCAGTTCTACCAACTGAGGGTCTCAACCTCCTTATTCCCTACCCCAAGCTCCCCACTCCTCCCACGCTTCAGGGGAGGCAGACCTACAGAAAGACACAGGCACCAGTCTCTCCAGGCCCCACAGGCTCTCCCCAGGAAGGTCCAAGGGGCAATGGGAGCCCCTGGCTCCAGCTTGGGGATCAGTAGGAAAAGAGTCTGGTACATTCTGGCTAGCATAACGGGACCCTGCAGCCAGAGAGTCCCTGTGTCACAGGGTATGAGGCCATCATCAGGAGTCCTGGTCCTGTTCATTCATCCACCAGTGGACAGCTGCTATAACCATAACAATAAGAAAACAGTAACAGGTAACATTCATTTGATAAACACTACCTCCAGTCTCTAGCCCCACCCTGCAAGGGAAGGGTGTTTACTCCTAGGTGACAAGAGAAGACTGGTCAGAGAAGGCATGTGAGGAAGCCAGAAGGCAGTGGGGCAAGTCAGAATCCAAACGCAGGCCTGCCCACCCCGCGCCCGGGCTCTGCACCCGCTCCTGTCCTGCCGAGGTTCTCTGTGGGCCAAGGGCAGTCTTGCTGTGCCCAGTACCTGCCACTTAGCAAGAGGGTAATGAGGCTGTCCACATCCATCCTTGTGGCTGCCAGGAAGACAGGCAGGTAGGGTCCCCTTTCCCATCCTGCAGGTGAGGAAATCAAGGCCTGAGGCTGTCCACATCCATCCTTGTGGCTGCCAGGAAGACAGGCAGGTAGGGTCCCCTTTCCCATCCTGCAGGTGAGGAAATCAAGGCCTCTCATCTGAGAGCTGGGTCAGGTCCAGAGGACTGACATCATTTACAAAGCCCAGTGAATGTCCCAGACGAGGCTTGTCCAACGTCCCACAGTAAGAGGGGCTGTGCTGGGGTTTGACACAGTCACCGTCACTCCAGGAGCTCAGGCCTACCCCACACCTCCTATGACCCTCAGCCTCCCCAGCCCATCAGGGTCCCAGCAGCACATCTAAGCCAGAGGAGCCCCGGGGCCAGGGCAGCGAACAGCCACCACCTCAGGCTCCTGCGGTGTGACCAAGGGGAAGCAGGCCCTCGCCTACAACAGGAAGTTCCTGGGCGGGGCAGGCGCAGGGCCGGGAGGGCCTGACTGGGAGTCCCAGCCAGTCTGAGGTCCAGGAAGGGGGTCCCCTTCAGTGCCCAGCTCAGGGCCAGACGCCGACCTGCGCGGCCAGGGCTCAAAGTCCCCGTCCCACCCACCAGCCAGCAGGCGTTGCCCCTTTAAGCAGCAGCCAGCTGGCTGGCATGCCCAGCAGGTGAGTCAGTGCCCAGTGCCCGCTGACTCACCCACCGGAAGCCTCCTGCTGCTCCAGCCCTCTCCCCACACGGACAACTGAGAACTTTGCTCCCTTCAGGCCCCGCGCCACAGGCTGGCTGATACAGAGTTTCCTGTGCATCACGCCAGGGGTGGGGGAAGTCCCCAAGGTGCCACCATCCAATCTCTCCGACAGCTGGAATGGGACAGGCCTCGGGGTGAAGGGGGTGGGCAGCAGCCGCAGCAGGCAGGGCCAGGACTCCCACAATGCTCCCCGCAGCCTTGGCGCCCCCATCAGGCCTCTGGGAGCCATGTGACGATCCACTGTGAGTGCCACGTGGGCAGGGGCTGTGACGGCATGCGGGTGGCACCCCCAGGATAAATGTGGCTTGAAGTAGCGGCCCTGGGCCATGTCAACCAAATGGGGTCCCACCCGCTGGCCCCAGTGCCAGATGCCCTCGGCCTCTGACCGCAGCATGTGGGCAAGGAAGCCAGTGAAAGCCAGCAGGGCTGTGGGGCCTGGAGCCTCCTGCACTTGTGGAAAATTCCCCAGGCCTGTGGCATGGAGGACAGACAAGGGCACCTGCTGCAAGGCAGGAACTCCAAGGTCAGGCTTCCTTAAGGGCCAGTGCCAACCACACCCTGCTCTGTTTCAATTCTTGAGAGAAGGTAGAGAGGAGCATGACACTGGGGGCCCTGTGCCCAGGATGGGAGGGCACAGCTCTGTGGACTTGGTCCAGGTACTCCCCATACTGACCTCGGTTTTGTCACCTGTCAAGTGGGTTGGACTGCAGTTAGTGTGAAGTGGCCAAGCGCAGAAGGTATGCACACAGGCAACCTTGCCCTGGCTGTCACGCCCACCTGCCACCTGGGAAACCCGGTCCAGTCACGCTCCAGCAGTGCTCAGGGTGCACACGGCTGGAGCTGGCACCTACCGGACTGGCTGTCCCATCACCTGGTGGGGGCGTGGGGTCCCACCAGCTCATCTCAAGCATCCAGCATGGGGCTGGGTCCCAGAGGAGCACTGGGGAGATAGATGGAGCCACACAGTCCTGGGGGGAACCCTAGCTGCATCTGCTGCAGCTGTGTGACCTCAGGCAAAGCACTGAATGCCTCTGAGCTTGTTTCCTCACCTGCAAACGGGGTTGGGAAGAAAATGGGAGAGTGCATGGCACATGGAAACAAGCATGATCAAGGGGAGCTCTTGAGATTTTCGGTGATGGGGCACTGTGGATCCCCCACTGCATCCTTCCCCAGAGCCCCAAGAGCTTGGTGGGGTCCCTGGGCCTTGTTGGAGGCCCCTAAACCTCCATCCAACCCACCCAACATTATCTGTTACCTGGACAACCTAGAAATTCATCCTGGTTCTCTCTCTGCAGAGAGGCTCAGAGAGACCAATGCCAGGACTCAAGTCACACAGCACATGAGGATCAAGCAGTGCCTCCCTTCACACCCATGACTTCTCTCCTTCACAACCCTGCAACTGTAACTTTTATTTTGATGAAGCATTTCCTTCCCCAAAGAGCTGAAAGGGCCTTCAAAAAGGTGCTTCCAACCATGAAACGCTGTGGCCCAGAGAGGTGGAGAGAGACCTGCTCTAAGTCCCACAGCATGGACCAAGCCAGGCCTAGACTCTGAGCTGGAAAAGAGAAGGGTCTGATTTCCTGGTTCTCCAGAGTAAAGGCACTTACGATTTCCCGGTTCCCAAGCTCCACGAGGTCTGTGCAGTCCAAGTCCCTCCCCAGCTACCTGCCCCCTCGAGTGTCTCCTGAGTTACTCACAGTGGTTGGGTAATGGTCAGGGATCCGGCCTCCCACTTACGTAAAACATGATTACACTGCCCACTCCGACAGCTGGGCTCTGGCTCACAGCCACCGCAGCCTTTGGCAATGGGGGCAGGGAAGGACCCACACCCTCCCCAGGACCTCAGATGCCCTCCCATGGGACCCTCCAGAGAAGAGGGAGGGACAACCCCTGAGGAGGGCTCCACTACGTGCCAGCTGTTACCTTTTTCCCCCTCACTCTGCAGCTGCAACCCAACCACAGGCCTTGATCCCCCAGGGCTGAGGCCTCTCCAGCAGGAAAAGTGGAAACAATAACAAAACGCCAGGACAACTGTTCCCTAAGCACCTACTATGCGCCAGGCTCCACGCTGAGCCCTTTATCTCATCACCCACTTGCTTAAAACTCCTTAGTTTTCACTATCTCACATCATACTCCTGAAGCCCACAGAAGGCAGGTATGATTACTCCCATTTACAGATAAGGAAACTAAGGCCCAGAGACCTCCTGCTGTGGGTGAGGCAGCCCATTCATTAAGCTATGTCCGGTTTGGAAATTGCTCACACAACCCAGCCTGCTGAGACTCCTACATGCCAAAAACATCCTTTCCCCTTCCTGCAAACAAAATCCCCCTTTCACACTCCAAGCCTCCTCCTCTCCACTGCATGACAAATCCCTGCCCCCGCATCCGCCACCTCACAAACATTTCCAGGAAGGCCAGCTACTTGGAGAAGACAAGAGCAAGCCCATTACATAGCCAGAACCCTGGCTTGGCGCTGGCCCAGGACCCATGGGCAGCAGACACAGGCCTGGTAGCAATCGACCCTGGAGACACTGGGACACAAGAAGGGGTGAGCTCCCGAAGTGCAGAGAGAAGCTTGCCAATCAGGACAGGGAGGAGCCTATGGAGAGTGGGGGTCGTGCAACAGGGCGGGGCAGGAGGCCTGGAGAGATTCCCCAGGGACAGGGCTGCAGAAGAGGGTGCAGGCCGGCTACGGAAGGGACAATGTGGGGCCTACAAAGGACAGAGAGAGCTGGAGGAGAGGAGGACAGAGTTCTGAGCTGCAGGGCAACCGGGGTACCCACATGGGAGGGGGCTGGCGCCACCGTGAGCTCCGCAGCACGGGAGCGCTGCCGAGGCCTGGATGGAAAGTCAGCTAAATCCCAGCCTGGATGCAGCCCTGGGACCTGGGAGTGGAAGGGGGCCCGGGGGCAGGACCACAGCAAATTCCATATGGGTCCAGCTGATGGCCCCAGACTGGGAGAGTCCCTGTCCAGGGTGCAGCTAAGGCCTGATGAGGAGCTCAGAGTGAGGTTCCTGGCCTGACCTGGAGAGGGGTAACCAGAACGAGATCCTATCCTGAGTTTCGGCCTGGGTGCAGTCCCAAGGCCTAAAGTGGGAGTCCAGGTGAGGTCCCAGAGTAGGACCGGAGCCCGAAGAAGTAAGGGTTCTAGGCCGGGGTGCTGCCTGGATACGGGACGGGCACGGGTGAGATACACCGAGGTCGGGGTTCGCAGCCCGGGCACGAACTGGGCGCAAGGGTCAAGCCGCTGTCCCGGCCGCGTGCTCCTACCTTTGGACTGGGGCAAACTGGCGGGCTGGCTAGAGGCGGGTGACTCCATGGTGCAGGCGGGTCCGCGGGCGGCGGCGGGGACTAATACTAATCTAGAGGGCGGCGGGCTCGACCAGGGCGGGGCGCGATCATGGCTGCGGGCAGACGGGCCAGGAGCAACAGCGAAGAAGAGGCGGCGGCGGAATAAAGGTGGCTGCGGCGAGGACGGGTCGGCGGCGACCGAGGAGCCAGCGACAGACAGCAGCGTAGCCAGACTGGGCAGTGCCTCGCAGTCCCTGCCGCTGACGCAGGCCCCGCCCCCGCGCGCTGATTGGCCCGCCCGTCTCCAGGGCCCGGCCCCTGCCTATCAAACGCGGGCCCGGCCCTGCCAGTCAAGCACAGGCCTCGCCCCCTGAGGGCCCAGAGCCGGCTCCCCTCAACTGTCTGTCAAACCCGCCCGCCACCCGGGAAACCCAGCCCAGTCACGCTCCGCCCCCTCCTAGGCTTCGGCCGGTGCCTCCCACCCCTGTCAAGACGCAAGCCCCGCCCACCCCAGGGCAGGCGACCCGCCTTGCGCCCTTCGGGTGTGAGGCCCCGCCCCCGTCCCGACAGTGCCCGCCCCGCGGCGGCCCTCAGGGGCGCTTTTTGTGGCCCCGCCCTGTGTGCGTAATCTGGAAAAAACCCCGATTTTTCCCTCGGCGGCCCCGCCGGGGCCTCAAGAAGCTGGAAGGCGTGGTGCTGTGGAGGTGTTAAAAGTGCGCCCCCGGCTGAGACCTGGGTTCAGGTCCCGGTTCGGCTGCTTTCTAGCGGGGGTTGACCTTGGGCAAGTCAGGTAACCCCCTAGCGTCGCTTTCCGCCTCTGTGAGAGACGGTAACAGCCCGCCTCCTGGTGCGGTGAGAACCGACCCGGCTTTGCGGCTTTAGCGGATGCTCCGTTTGTTGACTGAATGTTGGAAAGGGTTTAGCGCAACACTCCGTGCGCCCATTCATTCCCAGCTTCGGCAGTCACCGCGCGCCGGCCAAGTGTCAGGCGCTGTGCAACGGATGGGCTACAGTGATGAACTCGGCAGCACCTAGCGAGAAGTCAGTAAATGCAGCCTCAACGGCTGTCACTACCACACTGCGTTCTACACACGGGAAAGCTGAGTCTCCGAGGGAGTAAGATGGCATTTCAATGCATTTTACTCCATTCACAAGCCTTGACCGGGATCTCATCCTGGCTCACTAGTGGCCCTTTGATCCTCTCCTCCTATGCTCTTGGGGCCTTGGTATGCTCCTCTGTATAATGGCCAATCCTCCCTTCTGCTCCCACGTGTGGCCACCAGGAACCACTAACCAAACTGGTGCTGGGATCAGATGACTCAAATGCAAAGCCAGAGGCTGGTGAGGGCTAGAAGCTCCTCGCAAAAGTCAGGGGTCAGCCTCTTGCCTCAGGGCAGGCATGAGTGTGTGGCCTGCCAGGGACTTCCCCTGAAGGAAGCAGATTCCATCACCTGCTAGAAGGCTGGAAGCAGGGGACTGACCTCTGCTTGCCCATTCATAAAACAGGGTGATCCCCATAGGGTCCCACGCACACAGTGATGGGGAGGACCAGAGAGAAGTGGGGAGAGAGACCTTGTGGTAATCATTCCCCTCTTCCTGCATCTCTTGCTCATCCTTTCTAGGCAGTGGGCGGAAAATCATGATCTATGGACTCCGGCAGGTATGAGTTCCAATGCCAGGTCAGCCAGTTACTAGAAGTCACCAAGCAGCTCCCCATGCCTCAATTTACTTACCTGTCCCATGGGGACAGTGAGGCCTCTCTGAAATCAGTTCACGAGTTCAGGTACGCAAGTGCCTGATGTGGGACCTGGCACTCACCAGGTGCCTAGGAAATGTCTGTAAACACACTGTGAGCCACTTCCTACAGAGAGCCATCCCAGCCTTCCCTCTCCTGGGTGTCGGGAGTGGCCCAGAGTGCTACGTCCTAAATGTGCCTAGTGGTTTCACCTCAGGTCCTGCTGCCTGTCTGTCTGTGAAATGGGCGTCCTGCAGCAGCCACCTCCATACCAGGACCACAAGCCTGGTCCAGTGGGTCTTCTAGGTCCAGGCTCCTGTCGACCACTGGGACATCTGCTCCTTCCACTCTGCCCCTTGCCCTTTCTGCTCCCTGCTATGTTCAAGGGTCTCAGTGTTTGCCCCCTGAACATACCAATCCTGGTCTTGCCTCAGGGCCTTCACATTTGCTCTTTCCTCTGTCTCCAACATCTCCCCCACCACACCATGATTCCTGGGGCTTGTTCCCCTCTATCCTCCAGGGCTGCTCTTAAATGAACTCCTGTAAGGGGTCCTCCCTGTCATGCCCCCAAATCATTTTTAATTCTCTGCACAGTGCCGATGTCACTTCTGTTCACTCTGTTTTTAATCCAGCTCTCCCTCTGGACTGCCAGCCCTCCTGGGCAAGAATCATGCCAACTCATTCCTGCTGCATTCCTGATGCACAGTCCAGGGCCTGGCACATAGTAGGTACCTAATAAATATTTGAGGAATGAACAAAGGAAGGATGGAAAGCATGCAGACATTGATGAAGCAACTCTAGTCCCATGCTGGCCTCCGAGGCACCCATATGACTCAGACAAGGTCTTCCAGTTGGAGGAGTTGATGGTTAGTCAGGGAGCCTGACAGACAGCCCAGGAATCATAAAATTCCATGTGGGGTGCTATAAATAGATGCATGAGCAAGAGTCCCAGGAAGGTGCCAGACTCTACCTGGGTGAGGTCAGAGAAGGCTTCTCAGAGGGGGTGACTTTGAGATTGCACCTTTAAGGACCAACAGAAGCCTATCAGGCAGAGAAGAAAGACGAGCCTCTCTGGAAAGGGTTGGAGGAGGGAAAAGGACTGTGCCTGAGGGCCAGACTGCAATGCAGAGCACGGGGCTGCTGGGGGATGGAGTAGTACCCAGGAGCCTCTTTGTCTCTTCCCAGGGGGTTACAGCAGCAGCTGTTGGCCTCCCCCTGCCTCTAAGTAGGACAGTGAGGCTAGGGAACTACACAATCACTCAGAAACGAGAAAGCGCATTTTACAGGGTCATAGCAGGCCACCTCCCACCTGGCTCCTAGAAGAAAAGTCCCAAACACTCCCCTCTGTAGACCCAGGGAAACTGAGCACAGGGTGGAAAGGGGTGTGGGTGTGAACCAAGGTGGGCAGGACCTGGGGGGATAGAGGGTTGGGAAGAGAGGATGGTCTGAACCCAGGATTGGGGAAGCTCATTCATTCATTCAGCAACTATTTCTTGAGCACTTGCTGTGTGCCTAGAACTGAGGGCACAACACTGAATAAGACAGACACAATTCCCCACCCTCAGGGAGGTGATGGTATGAAAAGCAAAATGCCTATTTTGAAATTATAGTCTGACAGAGGATAAATGCCACCGGTAAAAGGAGGGAGGGGGACAAGGAGTGTGTCAGGTTGTGAAGTCGTCATTTTAAAGAGGGAGTCAGGAAAAGCCTCACTGGAGAATAGCATGTAAGTAGAGAGAGGGGAGGGAGGCGTCATGAAGACATCTGGGGGAGAGCATGGCAGGCAGAGGGAACAGCATGTGCAAATGCCCCAGGGGAATGGCTTGCTGGGGAATAACAGTGCAGCTGGAGCAGTGGGAAATGAGGGGCCCCTGTTCTCACCTATCGGCACCCACTGCACATGCTCATTCTTAGTCAGAACCCCACGGCCCCCCTTCACACCTGTGAAAGTCCGCACACCCCAGATGAGCATACAGTGTGTGGGTGTCCACACAGGCCCAGGCAGGCTCTCAGGCTCAGTCCCCATGGCACTGTGCCCACACACTGCCGACTCCCCCAGAAGCCTTGGAGCCTGCTGGCTAACAGTGCCCTCTGGTGACCTGTTGTGGCATGGCGGCTGGACAGGAGAGGGTCACTCTGGAGCGCTGAGCAGGCAGCATAAGCCACGCTCTCTGCTCCTCCTACTCCTCTCCAGGGTTTCCTGCCCCCAGTTCCTCGGCATTACAGCCGGAGAGAGCCTCCCAAAACACAGGGCTGGCCACACTCCAAACCCTGTCAAGTCTCCATATGTGGGAAACTTTCCCAGACATCTCCCCAGTCCAGCCACTCCTAACCCAAGCTTTCCTCCCTGAATCTTTCTTTGCAAAGGCTGTTCCCTCAGCCAGAAATGCCCTTCCCTTGCCTTCACCAGACTCATTCCTATCCTCCTTCAAAGCCCAATCTGAAACCAGGAGGGGAGGACTGCACCCCAGCGGCATCAAAGACTTTGCTCTACCAATGGCCACATCCACGTTTGCCCTGCCATCAAGCTCAAGCTCCTGCAGAGCAAGGACTGGGCTGGCCCCTTTCTGCCCTGCCAGAGGCCAGCAGGATATGGTATTCCGCTGCAGAAGCTTGGAGGCAGGAGGACCCCTCTTCAACAGAGTTAGGCTCTGAAATTGCTGAGTGCAAAGGAGAAAATCAAGGGGAGGGCGAAGTTCCTTTATGTAAACTGTCACCACTCTTGAGTATCAAAGGATGAATTCATATAAGCTAGTTGACCCCACTAGCAAAACTGCAAGTGCCATTTTTAGAGTACCTACTATGTGCTAATCTCTCAAAGCACATCATCTCATAGACTCATTATGATGCAAGAGGCATGAGGACAATGACTGCTTTGGCCGCTGCAGTGTTCCCAAAACACAGCAGGTGCTCAGTAAACTGGTGGGATGCAGGAAGGCTCACAATATCCCAGGAAGATGCCTACTATTATCACCATCTCCATCTACTAGAGGAGAAACCTGAGGCTGAGAGAGCTGCCAAAGGTCGCTGGTCAGGCCAGAGCTTTCACAAGAACTGTTAGATGGAGACACAGATTTTCCCACCTTTTCCTGCCCAAGCTTCTGCTAAAATGATTTGCAGTGCCCTTTTGAGCAAAATAAGTCATCCTTGAGCTCCCTCCACTGCTTTCTGGAAAGATGCCAAGCTCTTTGCTTCTGATAGAGCCCTTGGGTCTGTCCAGTCCAATACCCTGCAGGAATGTACAGAAACCCTGAGGCTGCCCCCAGAAACCTGTCTAGGCACTCAGAGGCTCTGGGCATCCCAGGAGCCCTAGTCTGGAACCTGTCTGTCCCTGGGTCCTCAAAATGGCACTTCCTGCCCAGGAGACAGGACAGGTATTGACTGATATCTGTTCTCTCCATGCCTGTGACTTGATATGACCATGTGAGGCCAGTATGGTTAGAACTTCATCCCACAGACAAGGAAATTGAGGCCCAAGTGTTTCAGCATCTTCCCAGGCCCCACTGCCGGAAAGGATGAAACCAGGCCTTTAACCCAGACC